GAATATTGAAGATTGTTGGTATTCAGAATGCTGGCTTGAGCCAACATAAAGATTCAAATCGGGTTTGAGATCGGATTTATCAATCCTCGTGTTAATCCAGCCTGGAGGCAGGTTTGGTGGTCGATCCGTCATTCAATTTTGACACAACGCGAGTTTCGGCGATATCGTCAAACTGGAAATTTTGTAGAGAGAAGACTGGTGGTAGATAAGCAGAATCTTATATATTTTTATGGTGACACGCAATTCTGACAACGATATAGGTTCAGCAAGGGAGATTTCCTTGATATTGTCCGTGATATGGAGCATCTACTTGACAGACCTGTTGGCTATGGTTCACTTCTACCTCCCATTCATCAGCTGATGATTGCTTTGAGATTCTTTGCAACGAATAGTTTCCAGGTAAGAGAGATTCTGGTTACTGAATGAGTTCTGGTAATGTGTTACAACACTTTCGTGTTTAAGGTCCATGAAGATCAAGTTGGTAAATGTAAAGAACGCTGACGTTTCTTTATTTTGAGTGTTTTTCTTTAGGAAAACTATTTTGGTGTATTTTTAATATAATTGAATCAATGCTGAATGCATTTTGATTTTAATGTATTAATAAAGGAAAGTCTTTTCTTAACATTACTAATCAGGGGAAATGTGGGGTTAAAAGAACAGAAAGAAATCTAATCTAACCGAAACTAGCCAGGATTCATCTTGCTTTGGTTATGAATATTGACACGTGTCCCGGATTATATCTACAATTTGTATGAATTTTTTCTTCCTCTATGAATTTCTTCGTTATCATATTACAACACAGCCACGTTGTAACACAATACCGTAAATCATTATAATTTGATCATAATTTGATTGTAATTATTGTAACAAAAGTAACTTATGATGTGCAAGAAAGATTTTTCCTCCTCCATAAAAACTCGTCAAGTCATAGTTGCCGCCATAATCTTGTAAACATTGCTCTCGATGGTGATTGGCTGTCGTAATGGTGTAACTGAAACGTGATTGGCTGGAATTTCAATGTTCGAATCCTTGCTCGTAATTGAAGAAAAATAAACAGATTACCCTATCCGGGGTTCAAGTCGACGTTCTGAATATGGGTAATCCACTGCACAAAATCGAGGATCGAGGAATCCCGACTCGCAGGTCTGAGCAGAGCTCAAATCCCAAGTTCAAACCACCGTTCTGAATTCGGGCCGTAGAGTCTTTGATCCTATCAGGCAAAGAAATATTCGCGGATAAAAATCCTCTACTTTCTCCTCTTCTTGCTTTCCTTAGAATTTGCTGACCTCCCAGCTCCAGCTGTCCTGTGAAGGAGATAAGTAGGCACCAAGTTAGACACATTTGTGTAATCCCACATCAGCTGGGTCACCGTGATTCTTACTGGACACTTGTTAATGGGTCTATAGGCCTGTGGTTTACTATGTACACGGAATGTATTTTGAGATTTTCATTACAACTTTTTGGAGGGGTAGAGAAAAAATGACTGCTTTGTTTATTGGTCATCACATGCACACTGATGAGGGCTCTTGCTCAGGGCCTCAAGAGACCAATATATAAATGACATGAAGTTGAGCCAGTCACCAATTGCACATGGGCACACAACTAAAAACTCCAGCATTCATTTCTATAGAGAGATATCCCGCGCATAACTGAATTAACACACACACACACACACACACTTATTTGCTTGCTTATCCATCGTGTCCGATCATGACTTCCTCTTCTGGTTCTGGTTTATTGGTGAGTCCCACGATAGTGGTAGAATCCGATTCTTGATGCACACTGCTTATTACAAACAGGGCAAGCATGTATAGCCCGGGTTTGGGGGCGAAAGCACATCCATAGCGCATGCCTCCATTGACGTTGTTCACAAAGTAGACGTGTTCTTGAGTTTTTAAAGTGCTGTACTCCTTCAATGACAGCGCATTCTCCATAGGAGACGATCAGCGGGAATGTTTTCCAAGTTAGATGTATTCATGCTGCATTTCTTCATGGCTTTCTTCATCTGGTCCTTGTAGCGTTTCTTTGGGCTACCAGCACAACGTCAACTCTCATGCTGTTGGCTATAGAGGATCTCTCGTTGCAAGCGCTCTTCAGGCATTTGTATACTGTGTCCGAGCCAGCGAAGTTGGTGTTGAAAACCAGTTGCTTCTATGCTGCTACAACCTGTTCCCGTTAAGAATCTCTGTGTTTGTGGCACACGGTGACACCAGGTGATCCGAAAAATGAGTTGCAGACAATTATTGTGGAAGGCTTTTAGTAATTTGATGTGACAGACATAAGTCGTCTATGCCTTACATATATATAAAAGTGTTGATATACAGACTACCTGGTACACAGTTATGTTTGTTTTCGTAATCAATTTGCTGTTTTGGAAAACTCGTTTTCTCAGCCTACCAAAGGAGGCCGTGTAGCTTACTGGATCCATGTTCCATGTTTTGGGGATTGCTGGCCACTTCGCCGTTAGGCTATTTCGGCCGAAGCTGTTTTTTTTTTTCCTGAGTCGTTTTCTTTGGACTTCTTCCTTTTGTTCGTTTTGCTTTTCAATTTCCATTCTTCTTCTTGGTCTTGTTCTGGTATATTCTCGTAAAAGTCTAAAAACGCTGATGATCTTAATGTTACGGTCTTGTTTAATTCTGGCTTCTTTTCAGTGGTCTTCTTGGGGTCCTGATTTTTCTTTTCTGTGGTCTTGTTGGGGTCTTGATTCTTCTTTTCTTCGGTCTTCACTACAAGGAGAGCGTCCTTGTAGCTCAGTTTTTTCTTGCATCGCAGCTAGCCACCCTACTCTCCTCCCTCCACTTGGGACACTCCCGGTCGGAGGAGGAATGAGGGCCACCACAAGCTGCGTATTTCTTGGCGGCCGACGAGCAGTTGGTGTGCTGGTGCCCGGGTGTCCCGCAACTGCAACAGACCTCCCGAGCTCGACACTTCCCCGCCAGATGGCCGTACCTCTGGCATTTGTAACACCTTGTTGGTCTTCTTTCATACGGTCTTACTGCGATGTTCTACTATCCCAGCAATACGGTGCTTGATAGATTCTTTGGGTAACCAACCAGTGCAGTTACGCTGGTCAGCTTCCATACTATTGAGAGCTGGTCTCCGATCAGCTTGGCCAGTTCTTCTTTTTCAAGGTGTGGGAGATGACTCCTAGCACCAAGTTATCCTCTGTGTGAGCTTCCACTAGTATCTTGATCCCGTTAATTTCTGTTATGTTGGCTATTTACTGGGCCTGTCCCCATTCCGCGAAGGTGACGATAAGACCACTACTCACTGGTCTACAGACGACCCTTGTCACCCCCCTGATTCCTAAGGAGTCAAAAAACTTCCTAAGGACAAGGAGGTTTAGTTGCTTGTGCGAAGGGCATGTGACTGGATACAGTCTTACGACCTTCGCCTGGTCACAGGTCAGCCTCATCGTCAAGTAGTACCTCGGGAGCAGAGAAGATCTTGCCTCGCCGAGGTGCAGTCTCAGTCTGAGCTTACTCTAAGCGGTTTTGAATTTCCTCTTTATGTTAGAGTTATAAGAAAGGAAGCTTCCTAAATATTAAAAATTTGGCTCGATGGCGCCATTCATTTTCATCAGCATCCCCTGGCCTGTAATTTTAGTTTTTTGAGTGTTGACATAAAGTCCCATTCTTCTATAGGCATTTACAACTACAGAGAGGGTAGTTTGCAGAGCCACTGGTGTGTGTGCCATAAGGGTATAGTTATCAACCTATTGTAGCTCAAGGTGTTACTTTTGTGGTAGCCTGAAGTCACAAACACAGACACACACACACACACTACTACTACTACTACTACTTTTTTTTTTTTAACAAATGGCCTCCAGCCTCCCCCAATAGCCACACCTTCGCCACCATTTAATTACCTTAATATTAAATATCCTAATACATAAGTAGCTATCCTACTACTACTACTAATACTTTGCTGTCACTCGGAATCGAGTATGACGATCATCCAGCTATGATAGAATGAAATGAGTTATTAAGGATATCACCTTCGTTGGTGAGCTCTGGGGTGACTCGAGTGGACAATACGGGACCGGCAGGGCAGTCCACAGATGTTGCACTTGTGGAGGGCTACATCTAATGCGGGAAGGGTGGCAATAGCGTCTTTCCGGTGTTGACGCTTGTCTGCCTCGGTATGAAGTAGGGGTAACTCGAAAGTGTTGACGCCTTCTCATATGGTGCTCCTCCAAGCGTTAAGGTGTGGAGTAATCGTCTCCCAGGTGAGGGGCTCAATTTGGCACTTTTCAGGTTTGTCTTAAGACTATCCTTTACCCTTTCAGTTGCCCGCCAACGTTACGTTTAATTTCGTTAGGTGACTGTAAAGTAGCTGCTTTGAAAGTCTTCTGTTTTTTTTGGGTAATATGGCTAGTCCACCGTAGCTGTTCATGGATAATGGGAGTATCGATGCTCCTACAGTTAGTGACAGCGAGAATACTGGCATTTGTTCTCTTGTCTTCCCAGCGAACTTGGAGGAAGGAACTTAGACTACGTTGGTGAAAGTCTTCAAGTGCCTTGAGGTGCTTCCTGTAAGTGAACCATGTCTTGCTGCCATATAGCAAGGTAGGTTGGACCACTGCTCGATATACGTGAAACTTTGTAGATAATTGCAGCCCCCTACAGCTGAAGACACGGGTACGGAGTCTGCCAAAGGCTTGAGATGCGCATCTGATCCGATGTTGAATCTCTTCATCGATGTGCGCGGTCGTGGACAGGTGGGAGCCGAGATACTGAAAGTGGGTAACATTAGAGAGGGTAGTACCGTTAAGCTAGATGGATGGCGGAGGTGTGGCTAAACCAGGGGCAGACTGAAAGAGAATCTGCGTCTTACGTACATTTACCTCAAGGCCGAAGTGCTGCATAGGTGTTCAAGATCTTCTGTAGGTCGCGTTCAGTGTGAGCGACAAGGGTGAAGTCGTCTGCGGACTGTAATGGAAGCTGCCGACACCTCTGTTCCTGCCTGGAGGCGTCTTATGTGCTTTCGATCGCATAAGGATGATCTTACTAAGTGCATTTGTCCAGTCAGGTTGGTTCTTTAGGCAGGCTATGTTTAGGACACCTTTTCTAGTCCACTCCCCATGTGGGGTGAGCAGAGTGGCTCCTCGCATAGACAGTACCAGATTGCAGTACTGCCTAGATCCTAGTGCATAAACGACCATCTTATCTATGCTACCCATGTGCAGGGATGTGACTCGAGACTCCCGGCAGTCATCTCTGCCTCTCCCCATCGCCGCTCGTCCGTCGCCATAGGACTTTTGAGGGTATAATGGTTTTGATGATGATGAGAAGTATGATGAGCTGGATGATGGCTGTGTGTGAATTGATTTATGTGGGGAGGAAGGAGCGCAGGCTGCAACAACACATCTTGGCTCTCCCTTTTCCTGATCCAGTGTTGCAAGTGTTGCAATGAGTGCGGAGAGGGAGAGTTGCAATGGACTGCCGATAGCCCACTTTGTTGGGTTTCGCCTTAGTGCCTGCCCATCTTGTATTGCCATCACACGTTGGTGTAGTCGTTGGGTTCCCATGCTGGTCACCTCTTCCTCCGATACCTCCGTTGGGGTCTTGTTGGAGCTCTGTAAGCGTGTCTGCCTGTTGCGAGGCTGCCACAGTCGACGCATTGCACCACCCTATGTGCACACACACACACACACACACACAAACACACACACACATACACAAATTTAAATGTTTTGTCAATACGTCCCAGGCTCTGTATAATGGTTCAGGTCACCAGTAGATGAGTAAGATAAATCCTGGATACTGACAGACGAAAGCAAGATGATTAGTAAACAAGAAACGTATGGTAAGGGATTATAATTTACAAAGTTAAAATTCACAGGAAATGTAGAGGAATTAAGAGGTAACTGTTCACTTTTCAGCAAATATGTCAACATCTTCACGTGTCTTCGCAATCATTGCGTTATTAATGTTCGGAAGGTGTATCGGTGGTACTGCTGTGGATAAAAGATCGAGCCTCGTAGACAAGACAGGGGTGCTCATTAACAACCCTGTAAATCAGAATGGCATGGTGGAGGACGACCTGGAAGACCAGATAGGCAAGTTGGTGAGCCAAGTGGTGGAGCAGCACTTGGCTGGGTGCCACTTAGTGCTGGTCGAAACAACAGAACAGAGTCCTACATTCTTTGCAATGAACAGGTGAGTAAAACTAATAGTCCAGCGGGCAGAGACCAAAACCCTCCCCACCCCAAGCCAATTTTACTAAGTAGTATTTCTAATTTGGTATGACCCCCGGCAATATGAATCCTCTTATTAGCACTACCAATAGTTAGTATAGCCTCTCAAACCTATTACACGCCCAAACTAAATACTTAATGAGTTGTCTTTTGTAAACTGCTCACATGCAATGCATTTCCTCAGTGAACACTTTTATCAGCAAAAAATTATATCGATTTCGAAAAAGCCCTTTCACTTTCCACTTACACCTATTCTATGGAGCCACTCATGATGGATACTTGATAAAAACTGACAAGTCCAAATTGCAACACATTAGTAGAAATGATTCCATTGAAGAAAAACCTCCAAGTGGGGAGATCATACACACCATTGATAATTCTTTGCTCTACACTCTCCAAAAGCAACCAAGAACATTCGGAGAGCTGACATCTATAATATTCCAATGCTTTTCACGAGTCAAATGGGGTAGAGTTGACTTTGTGACTGATTCATACCATCCGGTGAGCATCAAATATCAAGAAAGAGCAACCCAAGGTTCGGGAAAGGGTTTCATCATCAGCGAACATTAACAAGAAAGAATTTCTTAAGCGTAAGCAGTAATACAGTGTAAGTCCTCACAGAGTGGTCCAAACCTGAATAATCAATAAAACTCCATGAAATTCAACTGTACTTCGCAAAGACAAATGCTTCATTCTATCTAGTCCAGATGGGAAGAGAACTGTGGTAGAAGAATATAAAGACCTGTGTTCAATACATGAAGAGGCAGACACCCGCATGATACTGCATCTCTTGCGTGCCGTCAAGCAGTCTGATAAAACACCTGTGATAGTCAGATCAACTAACACAGATGCGTTATGTCTGCTGGTCCATCATTTCTCTGCAAACAATCTCAAAACCCAAGTCATGATGGATTCTGGAGAAGGCGATAAACGGATGATGATAGATGTAAAGAGCATTGTCACTAAAGTTGGAAGGGAATTTTAAGCCTATCTCTGCTCAGTCTCCATACATTCACGGGTTGCGATAGTGTGAAGTACCTTTGCCTGTAGAGGTAAAGTTCGTCCATTGACCTACCTGGTGAAACATCCAAACTTCATGGAATCTTTTCAGAAAATGGGAGAACGAACAGATCTAACAAATAAAGAATTTAATGAAGTGGAGGATTTCACTTGCAAAATTTATGGATAACAGAATGACCGCCTGCTCAACAAAGTTAGATATAAGAAAAACGTGCAGTCTTACTCTCCCCATAGTTCCCTTATCAGCAGTTCAACTGGTGTGGATATCAGTTTCTTCCCCCCTTGTCAAGCATCATTACAATAACACATTCTGAGAGCAAACTATCAAGTTTTTATAGGTAAAAATGCCTCCCATGTACAACCATAATATGGTCAATCATTATTGGTAGCATCAAGGATATCATATCCCTGATGCTATCAATAATGGCTGACAAATGGAACCATTTGTCACCTCGTTCCAAAATGGATCGTGGGAAGTATGCCAACTGAGCTGGCCGATTTATTGGTCACTAACAAACGCTCAAATGAACAGAACTTTGAGTACGAGGGAATATTAGGTGATGCTGATAGAGATCATAATAAGTTTGAGCTCAGTAGTATGCTAGACGTTGTCCATGAAGAGGAATATAATGATGTTGTTGATTGAGCTCTATTATGTAATTAATGTGATAGGGTTTTCATTAATGTTGTTTAATACAAGGAATAAATTCTTTATGCGAATTTTGTTTATTTTCTTACAGTTTGAACACGCATTTGTTTACTTAATCGATGCCATACTTATGTTAAAAATATAAAAACACGCAAATAACAGCAGATATAAAAAACTGTAATTAGCATTTAATTACCAATTACCATAGCACATTATTCTTGAATAAAACGGATATTTTAATTGCCCTCTATATATGTACAGTCCAGTCAGTCAAACATTCAGGCACCCACCCAGCCAGAGTCTCGTAGTGCCAATTTTACCTGGCAATATTTGGTAAAGTAAGGGACGGGGGAAGTATTCTCGGCTGTTTTACTGTTGGGATAAATATTAAACAATCCAAAGGAAGAATTTTTATAGTAATAAACTATTCATCATTATTTAAGATCATGAGAAGTTTCCAAATGTTCATATATTTGTTTAAAAAGTGAAGAAAATTTGTTCTGAGAATCTTGTGGCAGTCCTCGTTGTAGTTGAGTTGCCAATTAATTAATATCATTCCTTCATTATTTAAACAAATATAAGAACATTTGGAAACTTCTCGTGATCTTAAATAATGATGAATAGTTTATTACTATAAAAATTCTTCCTTTGGATTGTTTAATATTTATCCTGACGGTGGTTCAGTCGAAAATAGATCCACCAATCACAATCAACTTTAAATAGACCTTACTTTGCCAAGTATTGCCAGGTAAAATTGCCAGTACGAGACCTAGTGTGGGGTCCTTGGATCTATGGTTGACTGTAGATAAAATATAACCACGACCATCATTCACTATATACAGTATATCACGGAAAATGTTATTATTTAATAATGGCAGCCATAATGAACGTCCACAATTTTAATAAAGTATAGTAATTTCTGTGATTATAGTTATTGAGGTTAGAATTGGACCTGTTATTGTTGTCATAATGAGAAATACGATTTTACAGTAGTTTCAGGATGTAATCGATATATTCTGTACGCTCTTCCTGTATGGCTACCATTTTAAATGTGAATATTTCTCCTGAAACTCATATTTCACTGCATAAATAACTTGTTGAAGGTAAACTAAATGCAGAAATATTGTAGGGCACGAATCATTTCTGGAAATGTTTGATTGCTTCGTATTGTTTTTTTTTTAAAGGATTTTCGTTGTTAGCCATATTAAACATGCTCCCGTGACCTCCCCACCACTTTAAGAGGTACTAACAAGCGGAATTCTATTTGTATTTATGACTAAGTTTAAAAAAAATCAAGGCAGGCAAAGGGTGGGCTATTGTCACTCCACGGTCTGTAAGAACTGAGTATAAGAGTCCGAGTGCCATTGTTGTGAGAAACGATGAATATACCATGAAGGTGAAGATGACGATCACTACAATATGCAGTAGTAAATTTTTCTATTGTAATTACGTTTACACCATAATATAGCCACAAAATTCCATATAAATTGATGCAAAAGTTTCCTGAGGCATACCTGAAAAAGTTGGTGTGTCTAAGGCAGTTATGGTGTTATTAATATGTTAAGGGAAGTCAAAATAGCGTCTACTTTAGCGTATTGCAAATAGTCTGACGGAAATATAGTATAATAAAATGGATGACGAAAGTGACACTGACAATGTTTTGTTTGGGGATTTTTTTTTTTTTGCAGACAACTGGTAAAAGTCGGACAGGGTGTGATGATGGTGGATGTATGGCGATTATACGCAGAGGATTTACCAGTTAAGGATCAGTTAATGAGAGACCAGCTTTTACAGGGGTTGTGGGGAGACACTACGCTTACCTGTAGCGCCCTCATTATACACCTCGACAACATAACTGACAATAAAATCGCTTCCAGGTTAGTAATGAGGATACTGTAATTGCGACTCTGAGGAAACACCAAATTATGAGACTCGAGGGACTTGTTTATTATGTAACTGAGAGTCGATCATGCATTGAGGTGTCGCTTATCAGTGTATATAGCTTAACTTATGTCCTGAGAAAAATGACCCATCAGAGATGACTTGTATTTTCCATTGAAACAAAGAAAATAATTATTTTTATATTTAATTGATGATAGTGTACGGTCTTCGACTAACTGAAAATAAAATAAGATGATGAAAACGTATGTGTAAATTATATGTACACACATATTTACTAATGGACGTGACGTGTAGGTCAAAGCTAAACCTTCCCACAGGTTCCTTGAGTGGTGTAAGGTATGGCGACGACCCATGACGCGCGTGGTGATAGTGGGTGTCCAGGAGGGTGAGGCATCCATCCTTCTTCATCATAATCTCCGCAACACCATCCACACCATATACCTCGCCCTTCACGACCTCACACTCCAAAGACTCAATTTTCGTCAGGGACACCCACTGAACACCAGGCTCAGGAAGACAGTGGCAAAGAGAGGTAATGTTATGTCACTAAGCAAGGCACAGAAAATAATTTATTAAATATCTTTAACACTAAGCATAGGTCTTATCTCCCTTATCTTGTGTATACAGGAGATAAGGCCGAGGAGCTGTGGGTGTACGGGCGATGTCTGTACTGTAACAAGGGTGAGGCTCAGGTCCAACTCCTCCACCGGGGGAACCTGACCTATGGCCTCCACGGCGTCAACCTCTTCCCAGGTGCGTATCAAACATCCGTTACACGCCGTATAGGCACCACCACAAATATCCGCCATCTGGACATTTCAAGGGTACATGAACATCTCCATGTCAAATTTAAGCTCTTTAAAATTGCAGCTCGAGATTGCGAAGACAAAGAAACAGATAAACAATCACACAGACAAACAGATAATGTATTAGCATGAAGTCTGGGTGAAGGGCTGAGGAATACTAGTGTTTCTATCGTAAATTAATACAATATATATAAAGCTTTGGGATAATTCTGAACTAGTAAAAGAAAGAAGGGTTTTAACACTGATTCTACTTAGTATTATAATAAAAATTCAGACCTGCGGAAGTAATACTGCACTGTGACCTGGTATATTAAGTAAATATACTATAGAAATTAAATGATAGGTAAATGTAACAAATTTCCAGATCAAAGGAATAACTTCATGGGCCACACACTCAAGGTGTCGGTTTTGGCTTACGTGCCTCTTATCTCCTATGAGCCTGCCAAAGAACCGGGTGCCCCAGTGGTTCCCCAGGATTCCCTCAACATCCGCATGCTTCACATCATCGCCAGTCATCTCAACTTCACGTAAGTCGGGTCATTGCAATGGTCAAAGGCCATATTGATATATGAAATAAATATTATATGCTTAAAATCACTTGAGGCCATATTGTTTACCATGCTTAAAGTTATAAAACTAAAAATCAGGGGAAGGCTTGATAATTAATGAGTAATCTAACACAGCTCTCCAACATCCACCTCAATAAATACCTACAGCTACTGCCAACAAAAAGAATATAAGAAAAAAACAAGTAGCGTATATGACTCGCATATCAGTAGATGGCTTTCATGTGGTGTCATGCACGTTGAGTGGCACAGTATTGTCAGGCTCGTACTCCAGTTACTTATGGTTATTCAATATTTGAAACACTGCAGATCGTAGCAACTCGTCACAAATATATTGAGTAGAATCCCACTTAAATGCATTATTGAATGACCCAAAATACCGGTGGAAAACCCAGGGACGAATTCTACCCACTCCCTAGATACACTGCCTACACACACCTTCCGCCAACTGTCTCCCAAAACCCCCAGACGACGTTCGTTGTCTATTCATGTTTTGCCGTGAATAGGAAAGTCATAAGTATTTAATACTGTAAGAGTTCATCGACTACACTATACTGTATAAAGCAACCTTATAACAGAGGCAGACTAACACGTAAATTCGCAAGTTAGGAAAATCAAGCAAACATTAGAGCCACTTTGCACCAACTAAAGTATGTAATCACGCTGACCATTAAGATAATCTCAGGTCGTTTTACCTGTAAACGGTTATCAATTACGCTCACCATTGCCGCCAGATTGGTTAGCCTTACTACAGAGACTAAAAGAAAGTCTATTTATAAAAACTTCTGGCAACGTTTGTTTACCTTTAATGAAATTAATCTTCATATACTCATTATTTAACTTAAAGCTTCTGTAAAAAGGGAAATCTTTGGATTGCCTAAGAAACAAGTATAACTTTCTAACTATCCATATAACTATCCATCTATAACAGAGTTCTTCAGAATTACTTTTTCTAATGATTACACTTCCAAAAATAATTTACCCCTCATCCAGATATGAGCTTCGAGAACCATTGGATAACAACTGGGGAACCCCAGTAGGCGACGGCACCTGGACGGGGATCGTGGGCGACCTCCAGCTTGAGCAGGCTGATTTCTCCCTCGACTTGACGCTTTCACATTCAAGGAGTCGCGTCATCGACTTTTCTAGGGTCTACAACCACGATCCATTAATTATTGTGTCACTCAAACCTGCACCTCTACCACGTCAACTGGCGCTCACTAGGCCATTTGTAGGTAATGAGTTTTGTTTTTATAAGAAGTGTAGCCGTGAGTCTTGTGTCTTAACTCCGAATTACGTTAATCCTCGTAAGCCTGACCATAATTCGTGTATACCAACACGTTTCTGGAAGTGAGTTATGTCTATCCCTATATTTGTTAGGCGTTATGTTGACTCCTGTTAATGTTGCACGATATTGGGTGCTGTTGCAAATAAAATAATTAATTCAATTCGCTCAAAGAGGTCTGCGCATTTTTGGTCTTTTTTGTCCCAGGGGATCTGTGGGTAGCAGTCATGGTGTGTACATTAGTCCTCGGATTCATCTTATGGGTACTGCAGTGGGAGTGGTCGAAGGTGTCAGGTGGACGTGGCATCAAGATCGTGCCTGCTTTTCTCTACAGCTGGGGGATGATGCTGGCACAACCAGTCACTGCACTTCCCACCAACACAACTGCCCGGGTATGATCTATGTCAATATGATGAACGTATACACTCGGATTACTCAAACTATTGATAACTATTACTGATGACCGTGGAAGTGGATAATTTTTGAGAAGCACTTTGACCAGTAAGAAAGGCAATGGTGACAATTATTGCAAAGAATTTTCTGCCATGTGATGATTGGCTGAGCCACATTTGTGTATTTACAACTTCGAGGAGTATTATAACCCAATTATAGGGATTTCTCTCAAATAACTATTTAACGAATATGGGTGTTTACAAACACTGGGTTAGTATAGAAAAATAATATCAGTTGTTTTTGTTATAATGTTATTACTGCGCCTCAACAACTATGGTCTTTAAGCGCGTGACAATTATGGGAGATAGAACTCTGTGTACTTCGTGTACGTGTGTACCTTTCTTTGTCTCCTGTTCCACTTTCTCATAACAATTTCCTAATATTTTCCGCTCCGCATGTTATAATTCATGTTTAATTTAATTATCTCCGCACTGTTAGTACAGGTGCTGATGGGGTGGTGGCTGCTGACATGTGTGATCGTCATAACAGCCTACCGCTCCTCCCTCATCGCCCACCTCTCCGTCCAGAGCAAGTACCCGCCCATTAACACCTTCCAGGATCTCCTCGACCGAGATGGCTGGTCCTGGGGTTCCAGACCATTACGAGGAACTACTTTTCTCTACTTCAACCAGAGTTCTGATCCTGACATCCAAGAAATATTTAGAAAAAAACAGGTTAGTAAACATATTGCGTAAAACATTTAGTCATATACTAAAATATGAAATGTTTTTCCTTTTCTACCATTTTTTCACAGATTCAATTAACGCATAACACCACCGACTCGCGGTAAGAACCATAGCTGCCATAATATAGTTTGCCGTTTTTTTTTCTCGATTTTCAAACAGCGAATAAAACTTAGATGCAATTAAACTGTCAACCAATACCAGAGAAGGTACACACAAATATTAGTGTTGTGGTTTGAAGAACTATATATATATATATATATATATATATATATATATATATATATATATATATATATATATATATATATATATATATATATATATATATATATATATATATATATATATATATATATATATATATAATATATATATATATAATATGTATATATATGTATAAATATATATATATGTATATATATATATATATATATATATATATATATATATATATATATATATATATATATATATATATATATATATATATATATATATATATATATATATATATATATATATATATATGTATATATTATGTATATATGTATGAGAACACGAGAACATAAAAATGGAGAAACTGCAGCTGGGCCTGTGTGCCACTAGGCAGGTCCCGTTTACCCCAGCCTGTGCTCATATGAGCATCCCAGCTATGTTGAAGCAATTCATGGCCTTCGAGTTAATACAGTGATATTTGGTAACTTTGTTCCATTCATCCACTACTCTGTTTCTTAAACCAGTGTTTACCCTATTTCACGCCTAAATCTAAATTTGTCTAATTTAAAACCATTGTTACGAGTTCGCTCCTGGTTGGATAATTTTGGTACCTTTGTAATGTCCCCTTTGTTTTAGCCCTGCCTTCCACTTGCTTTTTACCTCTATCAGGTCGCCCCTCGCTCTACGTCTCTCGAGGTGCAAATCTGAATCTTTAACCTGTCTCTATACTCCAAGGTTCCTAATGCCGGGATTAGTCTTGTCGTCTCCTCTAATTCTTTCAAGGATTCTATATCCATTCTGTATCGTTGACCAGAACTGAACTCGTAAATCGCGATTATTGGTCTCCTACAGGAAGCAAGATACAGTTTTAGGATGACCTCGCTGAATGTATGAATAACACTCCTTTGTATGAACCCAAGTGCTTTAATGTTAGCCTTATTCTGAGCAAAAACAAAATTGTTGCTTAGCCCCAGGTTCTGTATAAATTATAAATCTCTCTCGCAGTCAGGATTTCTCTATGGCATCGTTGTTCATCTGGTATCTGGTTTCCTGTTTTACATCTCTATGAGTAGCACATTTATCGACATTGAATTTCATCTCCGCCATTTTCAGACGAAAAATTTGTTTAGATCTTCCTGTAGTTTTGAGTCCTCATCCAGATTTGATAGCGGCGTCCTATTTTAGTGTCATCTTAAATTTACTTATGTTGCTGTCTGTACCGATATCTATGTCGTTTGTGTATATAATAAATAATAAGCCAGGTCCAGTACTGAGCCTTGAGAACTCCACTTGTGATGACGTTGCTCAATGGGACTTAGTGCCGTTAATGCTCACTCGCTGTTTCCGTTAACCACGCCTAATCCATTGAGGATGTCACCTTTGATGCCGCAGGCTTCTACCTTTCTAATTAGTCTTTCGTGGGAGGACTATGAAAGGCTTTGCTAAGAATCGAGATATACCACATCATAATTGTGCCCTAGATCCACTGGTTGAAAACTGATAGAAAAAGAATGTTAATAGATTAGTTAGGCAAGAACGTCCGCTTGTGTGAAATATCGCAGGAATCTCATTGATCAATCGGTGCTTCTCCAGGCTGATTTCGAATAGAGTTTGAAATGCGTTTGCTTCAATGGTGCCTACTATTGATGTTAGACTGATTGGGCGGTAGTTAGGATAGTGATCTATCCCCCCTTCTTGAAAATCGGTATTACATTACGCTATCCTCCAGGATTCTGGTACTACACCTGTTTTAAGGACATGTTAAACAACATACAGGCATACTAAAACTCTTCATACATTCCTTTAATACTCTGGCAAATATCTTATGGACAGTGACTTATTGAAGCTTTTGGATTTGACTATTTGCTTCACAGGCTGTTACTAGTCACTACTATCTCACTTAATTTGTTTTCTTCACTATCTCTCTGCAAGACCAAGTCGGTGCCTCGTGGAATTTTCATGTTTAAATTTTCCATGGTGGCTTCATTTGACATATTTATTCAAATTATTGCTCATTTCTCCGTGCGTTATCAAATTGAGCTACATACGGAGATCTGACATCAGTAGTCCAATCTTTTCTCGTCATTTTAGTTTGACCATTTGGTAGAATCCTTTGGGGTTTGTCTTCGCCTCTCTTACTATCCTTACCTCATTATTCCTCTTTGCTTTTCGTATCTCGGTTTAACCCTACTACTTCAATACCTAGCCATTCCGAGATTTATCCTGATTTATCCTTCTGCCTTCAGCCTTCATGCAATGATGTTTTTAATATTGTTTATCCATTTAAGTTATTTGTTGTCTGATCTGAGTTTTTTGTATGGTATGTACTGCCTTTTGTGCATTAAGTAACTCACTATTTTGAAGTGTCGTGAGGCAAACGTCTCGAATCTCGTTATCCAGGTCGGTAATATCATCAGGTTCCGCAGCCAAGCGCGACACCCCCTCTCTCAACTGCCTCTTTAAACTGTCCAAGTTTGCCCTTCTGAAATCTGGTACTTTTGGTGGAATTTTCCTTAAATCACCCTGAAAATCCAACTGGGAATCGAATTTCTTTTGTGATAAGCTGTTTGCAAGTTGTTTCCCTCGACATTGCTAATGAGGTTTCTCTGTTCGACAGAACTAAATCCAGTATATTATTTACCCGTGTGGGATTCGGTTATATATGTTGACTTTAAGGCGATCCTGGATCGTCTGCGAGAAAATCCTCCTAATTCTCTGCCGCAGGAAGTTACCGGCAGGACAGTCAATCTATTTGGCCAGAGTTAAAGTCGCCTACTATACAGACTTTGTTGTTATTGTGGAAGCCCTACGCATTCATCCCAGATAAGTCGCTCATTGGCCTTGGCTATCAAAGATTGGGGTTACTATATTCACTCACCGATTAATTTTTTCCGACCGTCGCTGAATTCTTAAGTGTTCTGTTCACCTCCTACCTGGTTTTGCTGCATATTTATTTTCCGCTTCCAGGTGCTCCTAGCATAGATTGCTACTCTGCCTCCTTTCCTGAATGCCCCTATCGGTATGGAACAACAGTTTGTAACCGCAATTTGGTATTCGACTGGTAATTCACGTGTGTCTAGGTTGATCCATGTTTCAGTGAATGCAATTATATCGTTTCTTCGGTACATACAAGAGCCTTAATATCATCCATTTTTGTTTCTCATGCTTCTACTGTTCGCGTGGTATACATTTAGAAGTTAGTCGTGTTCTGAATTATTCCCTTACAGCGTTTAGTTTTAAAAACTCCTGTCTAAATTAGTTTTGTCATCATTCCTAACACTATTTCCTGTAATCTTTTCGCCTTGTTCCGCTCCCTGCAGTCTCCTCCACCCCTTTATGTTCTCTTAGCAGTTTAAGACTTCGATATCTTTGAACTTGCCTCTAGAAACCCAGTTTATACTCCATCCCTAGACAGGTTGCACCCCATCTAACATAAAAGGTCGCCTGCCATAGAAGTTGTCCCAGTTGTCCAATGAATGGGACTGATATTGACTGCAATATCCTGTCAAGGGCAGTCGTTAACACCAACTGCCCATGACAACCATTCACTGCGCTAACTCTCCTTCTAAACGGGACACCTCCTGACCAGGAATCTCTGCCAAATCCTAATACGATCTGCGGCTGCCTTGAACTTATCAAAGCTCTCCCTCGCTCCTACACCGGCCAATATCATTGCCTCCTGCACTAGGAGCAGATAATAATGGGTTTGATTCCCGTACCAGACAAGATATTGACCATCCACCATCAGTCTCTGTCCCCCCACCCAGCTCCCGGCAAACACACCCTCATCCTATTTTTCATTTTTTTGCCACAAAGGCCCTGTCCATACATACCTGTGAGAGTCTGTAATTAAAAGTTTTATACCTTCCTTGTCATCACACATTTTGCGTCTCCAGTTCGTCTATCAAGGGACTGAGCTGGGTTGGTACACACTTTAGCTATTCATTGTCAGTTTGTTGTCGTATCCCTTAGTGTGCTTCTTCTACCAGCTTGGTCCTCCCACTCCACGACTTTCGTTTGATTTTTAGGGTGAACACTAGCTTTATAATCCTTCTCTCCTGTTAACCGCCAGCTCTTTCCTTAATTTCAGGTTCTCCAACGTAGCCTCTCAATTTCTAACTTGGCCCTCTTCAATTCTTCAGTGGACCAATGTATATATATATATATATATATATATATATATATATATATATATATATATAGTATATATATATATATATATATATATATATATATATATATATATATATATATATATATATATATATATATATATATATATATATATATATATATATATATATATATATATATATATATATATATATATATATATATATATATATATATATATATATATATATATATATATATATATATATATATATATATATATATATATATATATATATATATATATATATATATATATATATATATATATATATATATATATATATATATATTTTTTTTTTTATTATTTTATATATATATATATATATATATATATATATATTACATGGCCAGAGAAATAATACATCATCAACATATCTAAACCAGACTGCTGAAGGTGGTAAAATATTACTTATTAGTTTCTTTTCAAAGAATGCTCTGTTTGTTCATTTGAGGGATAACAAGCATTGCATTGACTGGGATAAAGCCTCCTCAATATTACCCTGTAATTCAATTGATAGTAGGAACATCATAGAATCTAGTCTTATTAATACCGAAAGAATTCAACATGAATTTGAGTAATGGCATGTACAAACTGG